TTTTTCGGTACGTCCCCGAAAGAAAAAAGGTGTACAGTGACCAAGGTGACCCTCCATAAAATCAGTTTTTTCAAAACCGGAGCTTTGCATTTTCCCAGGATGAAAACGGATGAAAACTGGATTTCCCATGGTTTTTTTCCCGATTTTTCCCAGGTCATGCAAGTCATGGTGGGGTGGAAAGGCCGGCAGACTGGGCAGATGCTGGGGATGGAACTCCTATGTTTTTGTTAAAGAAAGAGTAAGACTGGGCATGCAGAATTTGCAGTTATAGCCCTATAAACCAGTTATAACTGGCTTATAGCCCTGTTTTGGTGATCATCTTGGTTGCTGGAGTTATATATAGTCCCATTTACAGATTGTTATATATATATATATATCAAAAAGAATATGCAAGATGATTCAACTCCCATTTTTCAACCATCATAACGTTGAAATTTTGACCCGCAAAAACCAGCTGCGTATCATTCACCCTGGCCTTGATGGGCTCTGCATAAAGTATCCATTTACTGCACATGTTCACTGGTTGGTGGTTTCAAACATGGCTGAAACATTTTCCATTTCATATATGGGATGTCATCCTTCCCATTGACGAACTCCATCATTTTTCAAGATGGTTATTGCACCACCAACCAGTAAATATCCATGTATGATATCCATTGAAGATCATTGAACCAATGAAACCATTGAACATGGTGCCAAATGCAACCAACAAAAAAAACAACAATGTTTCCTTAAGTTGTACACTCTGGTAATCTAACAGTGTGCTATTGAAAATGGTCATAGAAATAGTTGAATTACCCATTAAAAATGACAAACATGGTGATGTTCCATAGCTTTTCGGTCATGTTTACCAAAGGGTGATTCCATTAAACCATCATTCAACCACCATTAGGCCACCATTAGGCCACCATTCAACCACCAATAGGCCACCATCAAATCACTGCTTGATTTTCCCTGAAAAAATCACCCCACGGGGGTAAACTGATCGCCGCTCCGGGCGGATTGGGCCAGGCTGGGCGGACTTTGCGCCGTTCTTGGAGTTGCCCTATCCCCAGCAGCAGGACGGCGTGCGGTGCGGTGCGTGCGTTTCACCGACGAGGCTTCGTTCGGGAATTTTCCGATTCGGAGAAAACGAATCGGAGCGTGTTCGGAGTTGTTGAAATATCTATAGCTGGTTGGTGGTTTGGAACATGAATTTTATTTTTCTATATATTGGGAATTTCATAATCCCAACTGACTTTCATATTTTTCAGAGGGGTAGGTATACCACCATCCAGTTTAGCAAGTTAGGATTTGGGTTAGAAATGAGGTACCCAACCAATCTAACCCAAGTTCTGGCGATTGTTCATAGCTAATCTGCACATCCAGTGGTGGTGACCCGCCACTAAGAAAAGCCACAGTTCATGGTTCAGAAGCCGAGTTTATGTCCCTTAGAAGTGGGGTTGTACGGGATATCCCGTGTATATACACATGATCTACACAGTACATAATATAATATGCAGAATATATATATATAATATAATATATATATATACATATGTATGTATATGTATATATATATATACATACATACATATATTAAGGATAGGATACACATGTACCATGTGCAAATGGATCACAACTGCGGTGGCTCACCAATGACTCTCCCTGGCGAGGACAATCTCATGATGCAGTTTGATACTCTCAATGAGGCTCCGCTGGTCGAAATTTGGGCCGATCCCGCCGGGTGAACGGTTGGGAATCCTTTGAATGGGAATATCATGGTAATATCCTGGGAATATCATGGGAATATCCCATTTTTTTTTGAATATATAATGGATTAATGGGAATATCATGGGAATATGATTTGAGAATGGGATATAGCCTCTATAGCCCGTTTGCCAAGTGCAGGTTGCTGCAAACCTACTACAGGTAAACCCACAACGACTTTTGGGGCGTTAAAATGGATGATTAACCCCCTGTTAAACGTATTCCTGGGTGGCCAGGGTTACCCTGTCGGATGAACCAGAAGCTTGCACATGCTTGGCCAAAATTTTCAGTAGCCACTACCCTCTGGTAAACGTTAACAAAAAACTGATGGGAAAATCACCATTTTGAATGGGTTTAAATCGGCTATTTCTATGGCCATTTTCAATAGTCATGTTAAATTACCAGAGGGTAGCTCAAAGGCGAAATTTCAGCTTTTTTTGTAGTCATTTCAGTTGATTGTGGGATACTTGCGGTATCAATCCAATGCTTATAACTTGCAAATCGGTCCAGTCCCCAACCCAGTGCTGTGATCAGTTGAATGATCTTCTTGACATCGGCAGCCGTTGTCAACATGACAGACTTCACCATGTCAACATGACGGACAAGATGTTCAGGACCACATATCCAATCATATCCACATAGCTATGAGTCAAAACTCTGGCACCTTAGGTACCCTAGAATGGCTGGTTAATGGATGGTTATTCCCCCGAATATGATAGTAATAGGTTTTGACCCATCCCCACATAGACTCACATGTTTTTGTTGTCAACAACTGTCAACTCCTCATTGTTGGTGGTTGACAGCTCAACAAGTCCAGCCGTTCCAGCCGATTCCAGCCGTGCCAGTTGTTCACCGTCACCCCGAGCGTCGGTTCGATGGTGGGTGGCGCACAGGCGGGTCTGAGCGCTTCTAACCGCCAGCAGTTGGGATATGGGGCATACCCACTTGGTGGTGAACTACCCACGAATCGTGTGGGTAGGTTATAGTTATAACCCCAGTTGTAAGTGGATTAACCCTACTTATCCCATTTATAACCAAGGTTATATAACCAAGGTTATAACATGTTATAACCTACTTACGATTCGTGGGATGAACCACCAAGTACTACATTACTACATCTATTGTTACCCACAAACATGAGTGGAACTGCACCCCCAAGTCTAGAAGTGTGACTGTTGGATAGTGAGCCCAACAATTTTTTCTATCCCCTGGGGTTGGTTTATAATTTATAAACTTGATAATTTGGGTACTTTGTGGTTCATCCCACTTAATAAGATTTAATAAGTAGGTTATAACCTTGGTTATAAATGGGATAAGTAGAGTTCATCCACTTACAACTGGGGTGAACTAACCTACCCACACGATTCGTGGGATGAACCACCAGTATGTAGGTATGCCCCTATTGGGATGATGGGTTCTATGATGACCCCTCCGGTGACTGTTCTGGTATGGTTTCTTGTTGGGGTTTGCACCATTTTTGGGGCATACTTGGTTTGATACCACATAGTTCTTAATGATTAACTAGCATTTTTAGGGATGATTAACTCGCATTTTTAAGGGGATGTTTGGTAGCACCTAATTTTTCAAGAAGTTTTTTCGCGATCAACAAGAAAAACCCAGAGAAATGGCAAGTGGTTTTTGGATGTTTTTGGTACCTGCAAGCCTCGGATTCCTGCAACATCCCACTCATTTTTCAGAATCTAAGTAGATCTAAGTGGCACATGGCATACCCCTCATCCTTCAGGAGGGACTCCCTTTTCTTCCTGACATCATTGATTTCAACCCAGCACGTGACCAGACCCTACGACACATGGGCATTTTGAGTCACCGGCCTCAACGAAAACATCACCAGCTTTTGATTAGCGTATCGGGTATCACAAAAAGGATGGAAACAAGTAAATGGATAGTTTTGCACAGGCTTTTTCCTTTCACTTCCTGACATGTCTGACATGTTAGACGTTGATGTTCTCAATGTGGAAGCACCCATATATCCATAGGGAACGAACGCTTTTTGTGCATCGAACATCAGCGAACTATGAGACCTTTGGATGTGGCTTATTCCAGGAAGGCCTGAGGAAGTGATGCCCTAAACTCACTGTTTTTCCTGGCGAAGTTGATGGCTAGAGTCATTTCATTCAGATATGATCACAATGAAACTTAAGTTACCATCCGATAATTGAACATAGCTATGGAAAATGGTCCGAAAAGAAATCGAACAAAAAATCGCCAGAGACCTGCATGAGTGTGAACCTCACTATGTGGCTGAGTTGCATTACACCGGGGCGATACCCCACCGGTGATACCCCACCGGCGAGGCCCCTTGATCCAGGGAGATTCGTTTCCATGTTCGGCTGTGAGGTGACCATCACCGGACGAGGCTTCCAATTGCCAGGCCACCGGTTACAATGGAGACTCCCCCAAGAATGGAGGTTTTTGAGTGGGAAAAAGATATATCAATAGGATATTTCTGGGGGAATGGTTGATTAGCAGATGGCATAATATAATATATAATAATGATATAATAATATAATGATAATAATGATTATATATAAGGATAATATATGATATATAATAATAATAATAGTAATAACAATAACAATACCAATAATAATAATCATATACAATAATCATATATAATGATAATATATAATAATAATAATAATCATAATAATAATAATCATATACAATAATCATATATAATGATAATATATAATAATAATAATAAGAATAAGAATAATAATAATAATAGTAATAATAATAATAATATATTTATATATACATATCAGAAAAAATAGACGTGACATAACAGTTTTTATAGTTCCTTATATATATATGATAATAATAGTAGTACCATGACTAATCCAAAAAATCCATTTGCCACATATCTTTGACCTCTCGATCGATTAAATGATGGAAATCCCGACCGGTGCCCTCTGGTAATTTGTTACATAGCTATGGAAAATCACCATTTTTAATGGGAAAATCCGCATAGCTATGGACAATCCACTATTTTAATGGTAAACGTTAACAGTTTGCTATTGAAAATGGCCATTTATAGTGGATTTACCCATTGAACATGGTGGATCTTTCCATAGTTATGTTAATTTACCAGAGGGTAATAGACAATAGCTGGGAACATCACCATGTGAAATAGCTAGATTTTCATAGCTATGTTGTCCAGAGACAAATTGGTAATCAGATGATATCAGATGTGCCAAATATCTGCTTCCTGAGAATTTGCTGGAACACTTTGAAGTTCTTTTGCCTCTCTTTGCTGCTTCACTTGTTTTGCCCTGTGAAATTGTGAAGACAGCGGTTACTGGAGTACAGATGACTGGGGTAGCGGGTTTTCCGACAGTGTTGGAGCCAGTTGTAGCAACCCAGAAATAGTCAACTTGGAACCATGAAAACCATGAGGTAAAAAGTCAACCATCAAAAAAAATGCGTTTTTTTCTCTGGTTGCATGATTAATGTTTTCCACAAGATTCTGAAGAAACAACGGCCTTACAACGCCTTTTTGAGCACCCCAGAAAGGCCCCTTTCTGTCCAGTTGGCGTTGAAAGCGGAGCATCACTCTACTTACCCTAGCCGTCCTAGTGGTTCATCATCCCAGCTAGTAAGTGGATTATGGTTGTAGCCCCAGTTATAACATGTTGTAACTGGATGAAACAAATCCTACTGTAGCCCTGCGTACTATAGTTGGGTTGATCCACGCAACCAGGCATAGAACCTTAGTCAGAGAATGAACCACTATTTTTGTTACCTAAATCACCATAGAAGTTGGTTAGATCACCAGTTAACTTGGTTTAAGTGGCTCATAAATCACCAGTTAAGCAGCAACGAAATGTTCGTCCACATTTTTGCAGATGAATCCCATTAAATCCCCATCAACCATCAGCGCCATAGGGGTAAATTTCTCCCATGCAATGTCCCCCCAGGTCTCAGCAATGTGGTCGAGCTATACCACTATGGTGGAGATTTGATTGGTCAGATGGCAGGCGCGATCCCCCGAGTTTTTTGGGGGAATTTTTTCGGAAAATGGTGGTGTTTTACCATGCTTTAGCCGGTAAAATAGGGGCGATGTTGATGCTTTTCGATGTCAAGAGACAAGCCAAAGATAGCCAAAGTCATGTTTGGGGTTTCCTGAACGAGATTTCCGGGAAAGAGTTTTGGACCTATGGAAATGACCGAATTAATCAAACTGCCCGGCTTTCCCGATTCAATTGATGATGCCTTCAACGCCCGTTTGGGAGCCTGTTAGCTTCCAAACAGGGGCACCCCAAAACCCAGAGATGTTCAGCACTTTTGGAAAAACAAAAATCTCTGCCGCAACTGATGTGGTTACTGCAAGAAGAATCCCCCCTTGTTTAATCACTGTCTAAGGTTGCTAAAACAATCCAAACCGTCAAAACAGGTACTGTACTAGCTCTCTACCCATCGGAATCGAGGGTTGGTTCACCTCAGCTGTATACATTTGTATACTATATATATTACTACTATATATTACTATATAGGGTAGATAGGTATGAGTCCAGTTCTGACCGTTCTGACCCTACGATTCCTGGGTAGTTTTTATCACTCACAGCTTCCCAGCCAGGTGCATGCAATGTGAGCAGCGGATCGTTGACTAGCGACCTGTCCGCACTGGGTTAGAACAACGAAGAACTCCTAGGGAAACCTATCTGCGAATTTGGGGCCAGCGGCCATCACTTTCATACATGTATATATATATATTATATATATATATGATACATATATATATATGATACATATATATATATAATATGATGTATATATATAATATATATATATATATAATATAATATATATATATAATATATATATATATTTTCAGCGTTTTTCCGGTGTCATCAGTTCCATGACTGGGCAATCCCCTATCTAAATTAGAGGTGTTTTTCGAACATCATGGAACGAAATGGAGGATTTTCCAGCCATGCTTGATGAAAGGCCTGACAGGCGA